TCAAGATCTGTTCTTACGTATATGGAGCCCAACATTAGTGCCAGGAAAAACACTAATCTGCTTTTTCCCAGTTAGAGGATTATGTACAGTTACAAATTCTTTAGTTCTCACAGTTTGAAAGGTTGGTTTGTTTTATAGGCAGTTCCATTGATTTGGTTAGACTCCTATTGTTAGCCTTTGCCAGGCTAAAGATTGAGCTCAATCAGTTTACAGGCCAATAGAACAAACAGTTCCATGGATGCGTGGGAGTTGTAAATGCCTCATTACATGTGCAAAGTTATGGCAATATGGAACATGCATGTGATTCACAGAGTTCACACATGTTAAGCCTTATAAAGCCTGGGCAAATGCACACATCGCTGATTGGTTGCTAACATGAATAATAGCCTGTGCTGAACTCTGCTTATCTGCAAAAATCACCCTGTCGAATAGAATAATCAATAATATTCAACATCAGCTATTGCTGCACAAGTAAAGCAATGGCGACTCTGGATGCACGGAGAAACACTTCAGTTCAAACCACAGCAGCAGTGGATGATGGATTACATTTCTAACCCGTCGCTTGAATATTGGTGACAATATTTCCCTTTGCATCGAAATCCCTCTATGGCAGAACACAGAAAATGCCTTTTTCAGGGTAAGGCTTTTGAAAGTTACATGAAATATGTCCCGTCTTAGCATTTCTGATAGGATGATGCCCTCGATTCCAGCAGAGCATTTCTGTGTCTTGGATTATTTTAGGAGAACTGGAGTGCCCTCCTTAATGCAGGGTACTTCCGACTTGTGGATATCCTGACCCATTTAGGGAAAAAGTGAAGAGAATGTGTCCTTTAAAACCCACAAGAGTGAAACGCGGCAGACACTGTGTGTTCTCTGCTTTTAAAGCCAGCAAACAAGGCTTTACAACATGGCGCGGCTCTCCTGTTCTTTTTTCCGAGCTTTCGCGGCAGTGAGGTATTTCATACACCACTTTGTCCCCCGCATTAAAAGGCTGGTCAGTTCTGCATCCATTTTTAATGAATGACTTGACACGTGTTGCAACTTGAAACAGGCAGAATACAACATTTATTAAGAATTTATAACTTATAATGCTGAAGTGAGAAGTGATAGATTATAAATAATAGACTGAGTTTGTTATGCCTGCATAATATATGAAGTGGGAGGAACTGATTTGGACATTTACACCAACATTATTGTATTAAAAATGCCTCTTATTTATGCTGAGTAAGAAATTAACATACCAAAAGTTTTTTTTTTTTTTTAGCTAATCTCCTACATTCATGTTACACATAATATGCCTCTTTTTCCTTATTTCAGCCCTGGCTCTAAGATTAAGCAGCTCTGATACAGATTCCCGGGACCGAGCCTCTGCAGAGAAAACTTTTTCTGCTTCCTCTGCGACCCACTCTCCCTAAATGCAATTTTTGTTGTTGTTCTATCTCAATAACTTCTCCTTTTATCCATTGGCAGGCTTTATCATTTGATCTTTCCTTAGATCCCTCTATGCTTCCATTTATTGCTGCCTCGTGTGCTTTCTTACTCCTCTATTAGTCTTTGGCGCTGGCGTGACTACAGCATTGCAGTCTTGTTGAAGATGCATCGACACTCTTCCTGTCTTTCCTGCCTCCCTTCCTTTTTTTTTCCCCTACCTGCAAGACATCAAATCCTATTACATTAAGGAGCATCCGCTGTGTAACCCTTGGTTAACCTGTGCATTATGTAAATACTCTTTTTTTCTCAAGTACGCTTCGTGTAAGAGCTAATAGCTTAGTTTTCTTATTCTCAGTATTGTGTTACTGTGGTGTATAGCTGACATCACAAAGAAAAAAAGGAAAGAAAAAACGAACAAAAGCAGATGGTGGGAGATGCGAGACACCAGCCGTCCACATTTAGTTATCCTTTTGGCAGATCAGTGCAATTAATAAGCGTTTGTTTTCCCTGCAGGAACAAGCACTGTATTCGCATTATGTACAAATTTAAATTTTTGTGTATGAAAAAAAAAAATCACTTGTGTGATCCAAGAACTACTCATAGACTATTCCTTGGACTTTTAGCACTTTGTCATATTATAACCACTAACTTAAATGCATTTTATGGGATTTTTTTGTGATAGACCAACACTAAGTAGTGTGTGATTGTGAAGTGAAATTTTTTCTCAAATACAAGCATGAAAATATGGGTCTATATTTGTTTTTTTATCGAAATAAACTAGTTGTGCACCCTGCAAAAATAATGCTTCTATGGAAAATTGATACAGCAATGTTGTGAGAAATGCTTCTCTACAACAATAACAAAAAAGATGGTCGACGTCATGAAAAATTGGTTGAATTTAGAGCGGGCAATCCAGGAAAATAACCTGTTTAAGGTTGCAAAACACTTGGCACCGAGTTTAGCAGGACATGAGCCCTAAATATAAAACCAAAGCAACAATAGAACAGATTAGATCAAAGCATATCCAGGCCAGAAGTTTAAGGGTTATTTTTGAAAAGAAAAAAATAAATACAATTTGCAAGGCTTTGTATGAACAAATCAGGATTTGTATGGTTTTCACAGAGGTGGAAACAGAAGATTCATTAATAAGTTCATTAATAAATTATGTAAAATATAGATAAACCCATGAGACACAAAACAACCACCAACATTATCAAGGCTGCCAAATCAATTTAAGACAACTGTGCCCTCAGAATAACATCTGTTATTCATTTATGTGACAGTTTGGCGTTTAGAGATCCACACAAGGCACAGCACAGACAGCCCATTGCTGACTAATGCCACCTAAGTACTTTCCATTATGAATCCTAATCAAATAGACTGGAATATCTCTGTAAGCATGTATTTTAATTAAATACATAGAGTGCACAAATAGCTCTGGCTCTGCCCATTACAACCAGAAATGTCATTAATTTCCCCAAACTGACAGAGCAGCTGAGACAGGCTGTGGCTTATTTTCAACATGTTTAATGCTTTAAGGTCCCACATCATTGTACCTTTAATTTAAGCACAAGGTTCTGATCTACAAACATGGTTACTGCAGCCTTGACAATGCTTTCTTTATCGGTGTAGTCACGACTGCAGACGTTGGTTATCCATGCACACACTGTACACAGACCAGTCAGATCCCAAAACATAACATCAGTTTCTGAATGAGTCACCATACACACAGCACCTGTGGTTAGTCAGAGGCACAGAAGCAATTCACAATTGTCATTCTCCTTCCAAGACCGTAATTAAGCTAACCTATGCCGCTCCATGACGATGGTCCGACTCTATTTCTGTATTCCTGGGCTAAGTACCTGTCCTATGCCTGGGCATAGGTTAGCTTAAAACCTACAATTAAGAATCAGCTTAATTGTAGCTTGATCAGACAGTCTAGTCATCCGACAGAGAGACTACATTTGTTGATTGGCGCTTAAAAAAAGATGACAGGCATGCAACCATGTTTACAGGATGATGCGGGGAAGACTTTTCAGTCAAAGGGAAACATTTTCTACTTCTACTTTGGAAACACAGTGTTTGTGCTGCAAGCACACACATGCAAAACTGTTGAAAACAAACAAACAAAAAAAAAACGACACACACAGGCTGGACGTTCCTAGTCGTGATGCGGTCTTTCGTTCAGTGGCTGCATGCTCCGGCCACACCCTGTGAAGTGTTAGACTTCACAATGCACAACGGTGCCACAATACATCACAGTTGTTTATGTTCACAAGTGCAATGGAGCACACCTGACCACCCCCAACTAAACCGCTGGGGGTGGTCAGTGGTGCAGTAGACTTGAACCTTTCAACCCATAGAGGTCAGTGTGTAAATTTGTACTTAATTTGGTGTGGAGTGGCTCAGTAACAATCTCAGAGGCACCTCCACAGCACAAAACCGTGCCAGTGGTGAACAATTCTCCAATTTGCTGGTACGTCCATAGACATCATTGTCATAATTTAATGTGGAAGGTGTCAGTAATGTTCTGACCATGCAGACACATGCTTAGGATTTGGAATCAAATTATTATCTTCAGTAGATTTGTTAAAACTGTAAAAAAATAAAAATAATTGCCTCTCTACAGGTAGAAAGCCCAGATCCAGACCATCAATTCATAATAAACTGCAATAATCTAATTAAATACTTATATGAAAACTACTGTATGCTTCATTATTTTTAATTAGGGTTTCCTACAAACAGGCTAGATATAAAAACCACATATTTGAAAAGGATAAAAAAAATAAAAAAAAATTCAGGGAACTATGACCAAAAATGATGTACAACGTGAATACAAAAGACAATGTAGCTTGTCTCCTATTTCCTAGTCAAAGTGAATTGAAGACAGACTGGGAAGCTCCTAATGTAACAATTAATACCCTAGGGTCAACTAGAAAGAGCCACGTAGGACAAACACAGTCTGAGGGAGGCCAAATACAGAGGGATTATTTACAAAGCATCTCCGCGTAATCAGCACTGTATCGCATAGCTGTGGTCGCTGTAAAACTACTCCCTATGGAGGGAGGGGGAGTGCTGTTTTCTCCAGCTCATGGGATCATTTAGATGGCTAAATTTATGTCATATAGAAAGCTTTCTATATAACACTGAAAGACAGAAAAAGGCATGAAGAATTGATCTGTACCAATTAGAAAAGCACTGCTTCTTTAACTGTGGTGCTTTATTTATTTTTTTAAATGAGTTAACCTTTTATAATGTTCACATGCCTGAAGGTTACAAGAAAGCATTACATCCTCAGAGTGTTCATGATCATTTTGAGAGAAGTAGCAGACAAATTGAGAGTTGCTTCTGTGCCTCTGTAAGACTGTAGGTGGCTTGAATTATCCAGAGATTGATTTTCATCATCTATTTATTCGGCTGCCAGAACAGGATTTCAAAGCTGCATTTTTTTTTTTCTCTTTATTTTGACCACTAGGGGGCGGAAAGACTCCAAAACATGTTCACAACAGTTAGCATCTAGCTTATGAAGTTGTTATGGCTGACACATTAGCAAACAGTTGCCTACTCACATATCCAGCAGAAACAGAGCAACACGGACATCCCTTTGGTCTCCTTTGTCTGGCCACCTGTTGAATGTAATTCCAATATTCACTGTCGCTTTAGCCTTCGTTTGCTCCTCTGGCTACTGAGAAAAATACGAGTACCATTTCATTTTCCTAAATGGTCGACTTCCTTCACCAGTTCTCCACCTTTGGTGAAATTGTCATAAAGGTCAGCTAGCTCGCCTTAGCTCCTGCTCAACAGCCAATTCTGCTTTGGCTGATGCGCTGCGGAGTTAGAAAAATGTTTGTGCAGCGATTCAGGTCTAGAAGTAGCAACGAAACCAAGAGTGGAAAGGAAACTTGTGGCTTATATGAACGAAGATACTGCTTAATGCACCTCTAAATCAAGCTGGTTTGCAGGTGTTCATCCCACCAAAATATTAGACCATTCATAGGAGATAATTCAATTATTTGAATCTGGTGTTGGAGCAGGGCCACATCTAAACCTGACAGGACACATGTCCCAAAATATTCCACCCCTATCTCAGAGACCCACATCATCTGTGCTGCTTTGACGCAGTTGCAGCATCATTAATTTGGCAGATTATTTATAACGTACATGAGGAGACTTACAACAGATTTAACACATTATAATTTTTCACATTTGATCACTTATAACCACAAACTGCAGTGTATTTCATTTGGACATTATATGACAGACCTATACAAAGTGCCAAACTACTGAAAAGTAAAACTATATATATATATATATATATATATATATATATATATATATATATATATATATATATATATATATATAATATATATATATATAACATGACCTAATACTACTTTTATTATAATTGATGTTGTTGTTATATAATATTTAAAAAATCATATGAAAAATGTGGTATGCAATTACTGCCACCATTCTGACCAACTACCTTCTTTCAACTCTACCAATCATCCCCACAGCATGATGCCACCACCACCACGTTTCACACTGGGAATGGTGTTTTCAGAGTAATTCGAAATGTTATTTTGCCATCCCCAGTGTTTTGCATGGAGCAAAAAAAAATGTGGTCTCAGATAATTAGAGCACTTTCTTCTTCATGGCTGCTGTGTCCCCTGCACGACTTGACGTAAAATACAGTGGCTTTCTTCTTCCATCGTTAGGCCAGATTTGTTTTGTGCACAAATAATATTGTATCCTCCCACTTGAACTGTCAATCTTTGCAGTTCCTTCAAAGTTACAATGCAACTCTTGCCTGCTTTTATGAAAGCTCTGGAGGGATAGATGTTATCTGGTGGAGTTGTTACTGAGACACACAGTTGGCATCTTTAGATACCAACTGAGGCATCTTTAGATACCTGATAGCACTAGATTGTATCTATGGGTATCACAGTTGAGGGGATAAAATAAATCGGTACTGAACATTTCTTAGATTATGTTTGCATAAGGTATTTGACATGTATTGTGTACCTTGTGTTTTGCAATGCACTGCAGTATCATCGTCACTATATTGTTCTATCAAATGAAAAACAATGAAATACATTAAAGTTTGTGGTTGTATTGTGACAAAATGTTTTTTTAAAAATAGCAAGGCACTGTGTTAGCCAGTTCCTGCTTCTTCAGTGGGTAAAATAAGAGACACATTAGAAAGGAGAAGGTTAGAGAATGCCCTCCCTCTAGACTACCTGTGATCAGGGTTAATGAAGAGAGAGCAGCCATATTAACTGATTCAAAGGTTTCCCATTTTCTTTGTCGTCTAATGAGAAAATTCTCAAATTATGTTCTGACGCATCCTGGTTTCACAGGCTGGGCAACGTTCACTTTTCCAAATGAACATCCAAGTGGGACGTTTGGATGGTGTTCAGTCGAGAGGAAAATTCCACTTTTGCATCCCATTAATCACACAGAGATGATGTGGAGCACATATTTCACACAGATTGTACAGAATGTCTCCACGGCATGTCCCGACTCACAATCTGAGAACCTTTTTTCTTCTTCACCTCAACACTGCAAACTGTTCTCGCTGTGAACATAAGAAGCCACCATGTGAGCATAAGCAGGAAGGTTAGTGCAGGCTAAAAGAAGCTAACAAACTTTTTGTAAAAGTTGAACACGAAAACTCTTCAAATGTCGGTCTCTCCCACCTTTGATTTCTAGCTTCTTCACCTTGTTTTCATCTTCCACATTTTTGCTCTCTCAGTTCTACTCCCCTCTCCTCCTTCTGTCCTATTGGTCTCTGGCCAAGCTCAATCTATCAATACCCAGGCTATTAGCTAGTATCAACTAAGGACCCTCTCTGCATTAACCATAATGCTTATCAAAGCCTGGTATTGATTATGTGCAATTAGTTTGTCCCTTAACTAGTGATGCGAGAGGAGGATAACTGTGAGCAGAGGGTGGAAATAGAAAATGAGGGAAGACTGAGGAGAGAGCTCTGAGTCAAGCCTGGAGAAGGAGCTGGGGGCTTTCGGGGGTCACCAAACAAAACAGGTACTGTACATGAAAGCACACACCTCGAGTTAATATCAACAAAACAACACAAACGTGAGAAAAGAACATTTTTATACCGGCCTGTGCCTTACCTTCCAATCATGGTGGAGTGCTGCTGGACAGCTGCCTCCAGCAGCCTCTCCAGGATGGTCCATTCTCCCATGGTGATGGACCGGCGTGAGCGGTGTCACAGGAAACAGGACTCTCGGCTTTCCTCTGGCCTCCTTTCTGACCTCTACTCGCTGACCTGGCTTCTAGTCTCGGCGTCGGTGTCTTCTTCTGGGACTGTCCTACAGTGTGTCCCCTTTCTGGGTGCTGAACTCACTGCTTCCCCCCCGCCCACCTCTCCACTACCTCCTCCACAGTGCAGTGATGCTTGTCCTCCCCCCTGCAGCAGCACTCTGCTCTGCGCTACAGCATATGCTATAGCTCACTGTACAACAGCCATGATCACCCTCTCACTGTTCTACTTTCCTCTTTCTGTCCTCTAGCTGTTCTCTCTCTGTCTCTCTCTCTTTCTCTTCTTCGTCCTCCCCTACCCCTGGGGCACTCCTTGTACTTCAGCTGCACTCTCGGCCATTGGTGTCATTCGCCACTCGTCCTTGCATTGTTTAGCTTTGTCTTTGCTGCACCCTTGCTACTCTAACCTAAACACTCACACACAACACATAGAGCTGATCCACTTTGGCTAAGCTCACCATAAACGCACACACACATAGTTTCTGCTCGATGACAGCTCCGACTCCCTCTCTACTACTTCCTTCGGTGGACTGCAGACCCCCACCAGAACACAAAGCTCCTGCCTGCTGAATGTCACTTTATGACTGGAGGAATGGTCGCTCCCCGCAGCTCGGAGCGCCACACAGACCCATAAAATCCTGCACACACACACACGCACGCATGCACACGCAAACACGCTGCCACCCAGCCCCTCAGTAATAAATCAGCTGCCTTACTGCATCCAGCCAGACCGAACCTGAGGCAGCTCTCCGAAGACCCTCTGTCCTGCCCGTTGTCGTCCCCCTGGCTAATTTCGGCACAGTCCAGTGCCCAGAGTCATGTCTGCTGCAGAGGGCAGGAATGGAAAGCTGTCCAACCTGTTTCTAGATTCCATCATCTGGCATCACTCCTCCCCCCTGTCCTCCTCTTTCACCTCCACTGGGTCCTTCCTGTCTCCCTTCTATTCACGTTTGCGTGCTGATCTCAGTCCTTCCTTCTGCCTCTGCCTCAGTGCTCCATCTCCTCTCTCGGAGCTCTGTGCTCTCCTCTCTGTCCCTGTGCCTCCTTCCTTGCTTTCTCGCTCTATCTCTGTCACACTCTGTGAGCATGCAACACCCCCCTCCCTCCTGCCTCTTCTCTACCCCTCTCTGTACCTTCTCCGCTCATAGATCTGCTCCCTCTCATCCCCTCTCCTCCTCCGTCGCTCCCTCCCCTTCCCTCCTTCTTCTCGCCTCCTCTGGTAAATGTGCTTGGATTGCTACCCTGATCGCTGCTTCCCTTATGCTTGCAAGAATGCCTGCTGCTGTGCCGCTGTGCCTGTCTCTGCCTGATGTTGCACAGAAAGGGCGGATTTGAGATCTAACAGTGCCTCCAATCCTTTTGTGTTGTTTTTTTCACATTGAACTCTTTCAGGTGCCACAAATCAAAAGCGTTTAAGGAAAAACTCATTCCTACATCAAATTCCCTATTTGTCTCTTAATGTCACCATCTGACCTAACCCTCATGCCCTCTTATGTCCTTTCTCTCTTGATTGTCTCTTTTGTTTCTCCCTTATTCAGCCTCCATTAAAGCCTCCCCACACTCTGCCCTCACTAGAGAAATGAGCGCTGTATTGTACTTTGCCATGACATTGAAATCTGCCTTCAATAGATTTATGGTAACATGGTGAAGGAAATGTGTCAGTCTACCTCCAGGCTGCCCACAGACGCACGCAGACGGACAGTTTGTTGTCAACAAACTCAAATGCAAACTTACATGCAACCAAGGTAAGCAGAGGATGGGCAACTGTTTGAATTATACAGAATCCTTGGGCTGCTCTCAAGATGTGAGTCATAGTAAGGTTTTCCCATCTGGAGGACTGAGTCAAGATTAGCAGAAGTGAAAAAAAGATGCAGTAGCAGCACATGAGAACCAGTGCACCAGAATAAAGTCATGACAGCAGATTTAGCTGTTTGCCCCTGGGATGCTTTTGAGAATTATATATATATATGTATATATATGTATGTATGTATGTATGTATGTATGTATGTATGTATGTATGTATGTATGTATGTATGTATGTATGTATGTATGTATGTATGTATGTATGTATGTATGTATTAAAAGGTGAAATCAAACACTTTTACTTTAGAACCTTAGAAAATGCACATGTGGGAAATGGATAAAGATCAGGACTTGATGGGGCAGCAAAGAGATTTTGCCAGATCAGCATCTTCTGTGGTGGGACTAGAGACGGGAGGGAGGGGGAAACGGGTGTCGGAAGGGGGGGAAGGGGTCTTTCCTTTACCAAGGACATATGGCGTAGGAGTGCTGAAGCACAGAGGAGAGCTGGGCCAGTGGAGGATGAGGGCTCTTGCTTGGCACGGGCCGACTCTCAAGCAGAGCAGCTGAAGCGCTGGCATCAGCCGGTCGGCACTCCGGAAATAACTGGATGGCTCATGAATGAAGAGACACAGATGTATATTGTCTTTTCAGTGACCTAGAAGAGTGAAAAGCAGACAGAAATATGGATACGGTACTCACGGACATGGACACATATCTGCTATCATAAAGGCATAAATGTAGTAAAATCTTACCCCTCAAACAAATTTATAATTTTTGCCAAATGAAGAAAAACTTAGGCATGGTTTTCTCCATGTATTATAAATGAAATAAGCTAAAAAAGAAAAATAAAGTGACTTTTTTTGGCATTCTTTGCAAAACAGCCTAAGCTCAGTCAGATTGGATGAATATCAGCTTCAAGACTACTGACTCTTGATTAGATGCAGGACAGGACTTGGCCATTCTAACACATGAATATGTTTTGCTAGAAGCCGTCCCCCGATAGCTGTGACTGTATTTTTCAGGTTTTTGCGAGTAAAGGGGAGCAACTTAAAATAGATATGCCAAACTTTGCAGATTTTACTGTAAACATTTTGAAAATAAAACATAATTTCATTCCACTTCAAAGTCATGCACATAAAACCCAATAAAAGCCATATATCTTTGTGACTGTAGCATGACAAACAGCTAACTATTTGAAGGAAGGAAGGATTATTTTGCAGATCACTCGATAAAACACTTTCTCTTAGAATCAACTGAGTCCTGTAATGTTTGTACTGCACGTCTCTCATTCACAAGCACATGTATGTTGTTTCACTTTATTTACATGCACTCTTCATATTAAGTGCACTCTGTATGTGGAGCACTTAAATTTGGATCAAAGCATTGACCTTCCAGTTGGGGACAACCTCTCATCTTATTAGGCCCTAACTTCATCCCTGAATTTAGAGTGGACACTTGTGTAAAAAAGTTTTAGTAGCATAAAAACTTTTGCAAAGCTAATTCATCTTGTAAACAGACAGCTGCTGTCCCATCAGCTGGAGGTCACAAGCAGTCCAGTGGGTCTTGCACACAATGTAATGTGATGACAACTGAACAAAAAAAGTCCAATTTCACACCCACTGTGAATACTGCTTTCCCTAAATGGTGGTTCCATTTTCTTCACAGAAATATTTATGGCCAGTTCGCTTTCTTTTTTTTTTTTTTTTTATAAAAAACAAAACATGGTTGCCAACAGAGGCTGGCACCATTGCAGTGAATTTAGCAGCACACACATGCTAATTGCAGTGAGAATGAGATAACAGAAGATGGTAAAACAAAAACCAACAAACAAAAAACAAGTACAAACCCTTTAATTAATGGTAAGACTTGTTAAAAAAAAGTGCCTCTGTTATATATTATATAGATTTAAAAAATGTGGGTAAGAGATAAGTCTTAATTAATTTTGGATAAGTAAATATATATTTTTAAAAACTTGCAAATGTAATAAGTACGGGGAGACTTGCTTAGATAGATTTCACCTAGCTCTAATAACAAAGGATTTATCAGTCACTAATGATGTGAGACATTAATCAAGCCAGCTTCTGCAGAACTGATGATTAGATTATGAAAGTTGCTTCGTATGTGAAAACTAAGCTGTGGTGTACGAGCGCCCCCTTCTGGCCACAGCAAAGCATAACACGTGTTTCACTTGTGATTAAAATTTTAGACCAGTACGTATCAATGAAGAAAATATGTACGATTGTGCATTTATCTAAGTTAGTACTAAAGGGTTTTAAATACCCAGCAGAATAAATCAGTAAAATCCTGCCTTTTCGGGTTAAATTCATCATTTGGTTTCTCAGTCAGAGCACCTGACTTGGTTCTAATGGTGGGTTATTTCAACCACTAGGGGGCAGCATGCTTGTCACTCGAACAATGTTCACTTTGTGTCTAAGGAAGAAGTTATACAGCTAGCTGGTAGACAGTCGAAGAGACTGCAGTAATGCTAACTTGGCCGCAGTAGAGACTGACTTATCCGACAAGTATTAAAGCCACAAAGGGAAGCTCTGGAGCAACAAGCATCGCCGAGTGGTCGTTTAGCAGCGTTGGGAAACCAGTAAGACGCTGCGGATAGTGGACCTTTAATAACTGACACCAGCTGCTGCGAAAGCTCAGAAAGTATCATTATATTCAGTCATGTCTGCGGCCGGAGACTTCGGAAACCCTTTAAGAAAATTTAAACTGGTCTTTCTCGGGGAACAGAGTGGTAAGTTTAAACACATCCCGTCGTAACCGGTTGAGAGGAAAGTAGCGCTGCTATTTGTATGAAACGCAGCCGATTTCAATGGCTCGCTGTGGGGAGTGACGTCGAGCTGTTAGCCGGGCTAATGTTAGCCTCCTGTCGTTACGCCGCCTGTGTTGGCACTTTGGGAGCATTGCGACACTGTTGATGCCGTCTGTTTGTCCACGCTGGCTGCTTCTTGGACCTGCTCGGCACTCCCTTCTGATATGACTCTTCATGAAGGAAAGTGACGTATTCACGTAGTTGCTCACTCTGACGCGGTGTTGCTCATAGAAGAAAAATTGGTAAAGTAATGGGAAACTTCGATGACTGGGTAATTAGTCGAAAACAGGAGTTATAATCAAGAACTGAATCTATTGAAATTGTGTTGTTTTATAAGGAGCAATCAATGTCGGCGAAAGTCCACGAATTATGATCATTGGTATTTTTTCCACCCTTGAGGCACTTCATAATTACTCAGACCTGTCTGGTAGCATTCCTGAAATACCCCAGCCTTATTGCCAACCCCTTTTCTCAGCCTGAGCCCACCTGCTCACTGTGAATTAAGCTTTAGAAAGGAAATAATTCATTTTATTTTCAGTGGTACAGGGTTTACTTACTCCCTGGGCTTTTTTAAAAAGCTGATCAGCAACATAATGTCCACAGCGTGAGACTAAATTTGGGGTTTCTGGTTTTATTTTAATCAAACTTTGCTGTACAGATGGGAGCTGCAGTTACCACACAGTAGGATAACTCAGCCCATAATTAAAGAGAATTGATGAGCCACAGGCTTGTGTGTGCTGGGAAACCACTACTATTCTTCATAAAATCATAAATGATTCCCATTTAATGACTGGATTCTGGTATTGATGTCAAATTATGACTACTCAGATACAAAAAATTTAAGATGTAATTTATAAGTTCTCCTTAAAAACATTTTTTGGATTGGTTTCTATGAATAAAGACTTTTTAATTAGTTCACCAGTTTTGATTGTTGCATCGTCTTCATAAGAAGTAATCAGATAAAATTATAGTTAGCAAGTTAGACCTCAAAGAAAAGAAAATAAATGGTATTGACCTGCTACCTGTGGCTCTGTAGTTTCATTGCTGTGTTGTATAGAAAACAATGCAAATGCAAATTTAAAGAGACTAGTTGAACAGAATGTGAAAGTTGAAAGTAAGTGAAGTTATGTTAAAAATCAAACACTCAAAATAAGCATTGTTTGACTGTAATAACTCCGTTACTGTTCAATCAGCATCTATGCCATTCTATGTGATACAATTATTGCTGTATTTGTCATGATATAATCTAAAAAAAGATTAGTTTCCCATGTTTTGTTGTCTCTTCCATGTGTAACAGATTGATTTTGTTTGTCAGGGTGTAATCAGCTGTGGGTCTTTGCGTCCTCAAAACCAGCTGTGTTGACTTTAGCCATGTCTTTGTCACTTGATGCACATTGTAACTGATACTGCAACCTGAGCTCACCAAAAAGTCACAGTGTGTGGCTGAGCACCACAGTCCCAGAACTCAGCGATACCTCATAAGTTCAGCTGTTAAAAAAAAACAAAAAAAAACATGGGTTTTGCACTTGTGTACAAGTGAGGAGTTTGTATATAACAGCAGCTCTTAAATCTGGGGTCACAAATATGCAAGTGTGAGATCTTCTTGACAAAATAACGTAAATAGCTGTGAGAAAGCATGTATGAGTGTTTTAAGATTAAAGACAGCTCTTGAATAAATTAAGTCAACTTATAGGTTATTATATTGACAGCTGATTCTACTTGTGTTGCCATTTTACCAGTTTTTAACTGACTCAGGATAAAATGCTTGTGCGCTCAACCAAGAGACGGGAACATGACCTTCTTAGATTTTAATTTTGTGGGTCAAGAGGTTGGACATTTTGGAAGACACCGTTATAGTTGCACAACATGAAAAATCAAATACTTTCATTAAAAGTTGTAGTTTGCTTTTCCATATAACCAAAGGAGGATTCCAGGTGCCTTAAATGGATTTAATATGTTTCACCACCATATTTTAAATATTCCAAAAGCAAATCTTTTGAATTAATATTAGAAATGTCATTACAGATGAGTTAAACATGCTCTTGGTGTGTTTGTTTATAATAAATATTTTTACTAAAGTTAGCTATATATATACAGTAAGTCTGTATTTTTAGTGTAGTTTTTTTTAGACTTATTTTGGACTTTACATCAAACTAAATGGTCAGTTTGATTTAATAATCTCGTTGCAGAGCAATGGCATATTTTAAACAGTAATTTAGCCCTTTTACTTTGAAAGGTTTTTACTTTGATAGCCTTAAGCAGCTGAATAATCTCCCAGTTTGAACTAAATGGTTTTTTTCCTTTCCATTTGTGTCTCAGTGGGAAAGACGTCATTGATCACCAGGTTCATGTATGACAGCTTCGACAATACGTACCAGGTGAGTCATCACTGTTTTTAAGTCACCATTCTTTATGTCTGCAGTGGATGAGTTCCTTCATAATTTCTCATCTATTTTCAGGCCACAATAGGAATAGATTTCCTGTCAAAAACCATGTACCTTGAAGACAGAACAGTAAGTTTGTTTCCAGTGCTCCAAATGTTCAGGGATTTTCATGTGTTGGGTGATTTATGGTTTTTATGACTTAGTGATTTTGTGATCAGGATACTGTTCCCTCTGGACAGTCCGTATATTCACTGAGTGCTTACTCCTTCAACTTAAGTCTTCTCCGTCTCCTTCCTACCCCTCCATCTATCTCTCATTCCATTTTTTTGAAATGAAAACACCTTACTTGATCAGAAGAAGAGGGATGGTGACAAGTGAAGGGTGATTATTTATTTCTTTCCCCTCCAGGCCAGACAGCTTGCTTTCTCTGATGGTCATTCTCGACCTGCATGCCCTACGCTCTGTTTCTCTTATTTTTTCCCCATCCGTCTTTCTTTACTTGGTTTTGTTTCGATTTGTTTTGGCCACATTAACTTAGCTCATTTATCTGTTTTCTTTTTATTTCCATTCTCTCTTTATTTCTTTTCTTTTTTTATATTTTTTGTTCCATCCTCTCCCTGGCCCACAGATCAGGTTACAGTTGTGGGACACAGCGGGGCAGGAGCGATTTCGCAGCCTGATCCCAAGTTACATCAGAGATTCAGCCGCTGCTGTCGTTGTGTATGACATTACAAGTAGGTGACACAATATAAGCTCCATCTGTTCAATTATACTTTGCGTACAAAAACTTCAATTTCAGACTCTTTAATAAATTTCTAATGTCCCTAACAGTGTCGATCTGTTTCTTCTTTTACTTTCATCCAGATGTCAACTCTTTCCAACAAACCACAAAGTGGATTGATGATGTCAGAACAGAGAGAGGAAGTGATGTCATTATCATGTTGGTGGGAAACAAGACGGACCTTGCAGACAAAAGGTTAGTTGTTCATCTTTCTTGCCTTTGTCTTTTAACATTGTTAGTGTTAAAAGGCAGATTAATATTATTAAAGTGACATCATTATGTAAAGTTAGCTTTTTTGAGTTTTACATCATGTTATAATGCTCATCAGAAACATTCCTGGAGTGTTGCCTTGATTCTTTCATGCATGTTTGAGAAATCCTTTAAACTCTTGTGGCAACAGCTCCTCCTCTTTTTGAGGCGCAGCACCTCCTCACAGTACACCCCTTCCCCACAGCTCCCCCACTCAGCTCCTTCAGACTAGTCTGCATCAATTAGCACACGGCTGTTGGAACTGTGCATCTGCTGAGCTCTTCATACAAGCTGCTTATCAGTACAATTCTGGTAAAAATGCTGTTAAAGGTTTAGTAGAGGAGAGCTATTGCGATGACGCATAATGCTGCCTCTTTAATTACAACTTGCTTGTTTTTAATAACTTTTCCAAACCAATGTTACATCGGATAAGTTTATTTTTTTCTCTTCTCTATGGATGTCAAAGCAATTATCAACTTTATCTTTTCTGCATTTCCGATCTCCGTCTGTCTGTAATGCAGGACATATTTTATTTTATTTTTTTTCTTCACTATTTAAACTTGTATTTTCATCTGTCTGGCTGTGCATCTTTTAACTTCCTTATCTACCACAGGCAAGTATCTATTGAGGAGGGTGAACGGAAAGCCAAAGAACTAAATGTAATGTTTATTGAGACTAGTGCGAAAGCAGGCTACAACGTGAAGCAGGTAAGTGTGTGTCTGAGTCGTGCTCTGAAGTCCTGCTGCTGGTGCTGCGGCTTCTCTGCCAAAAGCTTCCCTCAGGAGCAAATAAAGAAAAGTTGCAACTGAGCAAGATCTTTTTTTTTTAAGTACTTCCAAATGTGCAAATTACTCATACTTTTCTTGATATTTTCTGGATATTGAAAATATTTAGTGACTATGGTGCCTTATGCAGTATTCATATCCCTTTTTACATTGCAGCCTCTAACCTCAGAGTATTTTGTTGGGATTTTTGTGTGAAAGATCAACACAAACCTGTGCATAAATGAGATGTGGAAGGATAAGGTTTTGTGGATTTCAATTTTTTTATGTTTTCACCAATAGAAATGTGAAAAGTGCAGTGTGGATTTTTATTCAGCTTGGCTGAGTCAATAGTTTTTTGCATCACATTTTGCTGCAATTCCAGCTGCAAGTCTTTTGGGGTATCATTCTAGCAGCCCTAGCAACATTTTTACTAATTCATCTTTTTTTTTTCTTTCAAACAGCTCAAGCTCACAGTGGATGGAGAGCATTTAAGCACTTTAGTTTTTAATCCTGACATATCATTTCTTGGATTTCGGTCATTGAGTCATTTTAACTTAGAAACATGCTTTTAACCAATCCACTTCATCATCACTCTGACTCTATCTTTAAAATTGTTTTACCTGTAGGAAGGAGAACTTGAGGGACCAACTGGATATATACAATTTATGTCACACACACACACATTTGGGCTATTTACTAAATCTGGAGGAAGCTGGTTGCATTGTTTTTTCTTTGCAACACCAGAGCAAAAGTAAATTAAAAACCATTCATCATTTTTCCATTTATAATGCACTACTTTGTGTTGGTCTGTCACATAAAATCACAATAAAACACACTTGTGGGTGTAGAAGAACAGATTGTCAAAACGTCCAAGGAGTATTAATACTTTCTGCTGGCGCTGCACCGAGCAAACTTTGAATTTAACTGCAACTCAGTACATATTAAAGTTATTAAAATCGCACCGGGAGACTTTTGGTTCTTGAGCAGCGGTGCCAGTTGCAGCAAGGAGGAGCACGGCTTATTATTTCACTTCAATATAATCACATTTTTTTTTTTTCTTCTTCTGTCTGTGTTTCGATGTCTGTGATGCGTGTCACGGTGGGTGTGTGTTTGTTCATTGGGACTCGCAGACAGATAACCACAGAAGAAGGAGAGCAGAGAGCGAAAGAGATGAATGTTCTGTTTATTGAAACGAGTGCAAAGACAGGCTACAATGTCAAACAGGTAGAGGCTGCGCACTCTTTTGAGTGTGCGTCCACAGCGCTCGCTGCCCTGTTTTGATTGACTTCTGTTCTACACGCATGCGTGCTAGACATGTTCTTTAAGCGTCTGCTTCCAATGAGGAGCGTGATTTTGCTTTTCAAGCTCTCGCCCAACTGTTGTGTGTAATGATTTGGCCAAGTTTTGATCAAACGTCTACAGGATGGGTCCGAGTTTGCAAACCGACGACTGGCCTTTCTTGATTTTCGCAGTAAAAGTTTGTTACTGTGAAATCTTCGTTATGGAAAGTTTCATTTCATGCAGTTCATTGGGGATGTGCATGCTCTGCATCTTATCTCATGAGGATCCATCAATCAATAAAAAAAAAAAAATAATTACACCATCAGTGGCTCAGTTGCACTTAAAAGGCACTCCATGTTTTGGTTTTTTTCCGTAGACCTCTTGACTTATCAGGTGCATGTTCATGCAGGAGCCCCAACACAAGCGCCTTAATCACTGTCAGATTTGACAAAGCTCTGTTGGGTGTGTTTGCTTTGTTGAAGCTTGAGGTGAACTTGTGCTATAAAATACGTAATGTGATACGTAAAAATACTGCTTGCATGCTTGTTTCGACTGGTTGTTATGTCCTGAAAGTATTCCTGACGATATGCGTCCGCTTGTCTTTCCTGCAGCTTTTCCGCCGCGTGGCAGCCGCCCTCCCTGGCATGGATACCACACAGGACAAGAATAGAGAGGACAGTATCCTTTGTGTGCTCGTCATTGTCTTCGCCTGACATGACAGAAGAGTTGGGAGGTCTCCTCGCTCTCTAATGTCACCTCGTATCAAATCTTGCGTATAATCCTTGCCACGGGGAAAGTCCAGTGCAGCTTTATGACGTCTCACTTTTGTCATTGAACCTATGAGTCGCTGTCGATTTAGTTTTCCAAGGACATCCAGCTGCAGATTTAGTATGATCTAAAAAGAGCTCCTATCCCCAAAGGTCTAACGTATTAACAAAGTTTGCAAAATGATTGCACTGCAAGGTTTTAATAATGTGTCTGCAAGTCATTAAAAAGTTTTAAATGTACGTATTTAAAATTAAGGTCTGAAAATGTCAAATTAAATTTTAAAAAATGTAAGATGGCCTTGAATATGCCTTAAATTTTGTTGTGGCAGGACAACAAACCTCATATATTCTATGTACATATATTTTTTTTTTCTCATGGGACTTTTCATCAGGCAACAGTTTGAGTCGCACGCAGGAATCTTCAGTGCATTTTGTAACTCGAGGGGGCTCAGGCTATTGCTAACTAACTGCTAATATACCCTTGCTAGCTAGCTAACAAGCTTTTTCTGCCTACTATGAATAAGTGCAAATTTATCACCAGTTAACTGGACAATGTTCATCAAGCTCTAGTCTTACCTATTGAAGAATTTTATTTCAACAAAGTTGATGCTGAAGAAGTAAATCCATCTGAGAAGTAAGAAACCAATAGAGAATGGAGCCATGGCTGCAGCTATGGGGACAAATAGGGGAAAAATATCAAAAGGAATGGCATTTAATGTCTTCAACTAAAGTTAATGTGACAATATCTATAGATAATCACACAAATAGTCCCATTTCTTCCTCGAAAGTCTTCAGTTCTTTTACTTATCCATATATGTTGTGATTCGGGCCTTAAATTTAATTGATAATGGTCTTAATTTGAGTTGGTGAAATCCTCTTGGTTTCTTTAACAGATGAGGATAAATTGCCAGTGGTAAATCTTAAACATATGAACAAAACCTCAACTAAAATGTGGTGATATGTTTTGTTCATGTTGGAATGATTATTTAGTGTTTAGCGTGACTTTTATCATGACTTTGTTCAACATCCCTTTCCTCCAGTTGTTTCCTGTTTAGGTGTTGGCTGCAGTGTTTTAGTTCCTCTTTAAATCGGCACATTTTTTTCTTGTTCTGTTCTGTGTTGTTCCTTAATCCACCAACCCTGCAGTGATCGACATAAAGTTGGAGAAACCACCCGAGCAACCGGTCAGCGAAGGAGGCTGTTCCTGCTAGAGTTGTCAGCCGTGCTGCAGACGTTTTCCTGGAAGCCGGTCTTTCTGTAAATCTTCCCTTCACTACACCCGCCTCCAGTCCCCAGTCCGACTGAGAACACTACGCACCCGTTACCTTCGGCCGTCGTGACTCCACCCGCGCTTTCATCCTGACGCTCTGAGAGCCACATATCACTAAAACTGAACATCACACTGTAACTGACATATGTACTGAAACCACAGACACACCTGGAGCTCACCTTGACATAGAGTTCCTGTCATTTCAGAAGAATATGTTGTTTCAGATGTTATCGCTCGTATTGGTGTATTTCTTTACATCGTTGTTGTTTTTTTTCTTCCAAACCAAACCGAAAGCGAATGTCTGCTGCAAGTTATCTGTCCAGGTTTGTGTTTCAAGAGGGAGAATATTCATTTTAACAGAAGAACACTGCTTTAAGCCTAGTAAACTGTGTAAATGTTGTGTGCATTTGTCACTTGACATAATTTATGCCGTAGAGAAATATTTGGAAGACTTTCTGATTTTAAATTAGTGGTGAACAAACTTCTCTTATTAATCGAGTACAGTGTGGGAGTTTAAGTGGGAGCATGTTCAGTTTAATTACTATCACACAATCTCTACAACTGTGATGCAGCTAAAGTTGGAGGCAGAGACCTTACTTTAAAAATTATGTTGCCTGAGCTGTCAGAGAATATTCTGTCACCTTTTTATAAGCACATATTATGAAAACACATCAGACTCGCACTACATGATTTTTAACACCGAATAAACGTACTACAATATGTCAGCCTCATTCACCGTCCTGCTTCTGCAGGACGGTGAATTTGTCCTTATTTGTCCTCTGAGGGTTTTTTGTTTTTTTTTTTTACATCAGCTTTTCCCCTAAAGTTTTATAGACTTTTTTCCCCCCTTTGATTGTAGTTTTAAAGAGAGAATTTTCACTTAAAACCCAACACAAACTATATGGATGGGGAAAATTATACCTTTTTAGGCTAAAATCGTAGAGGGCTTCTTTGGCGTCAGGTTTTGTATGAACTTGTTTGAACACTTTCAGAACTTTGTTTTGATTTTGCTTGTTTCTACTTTTTGGCTCTGATCTTTTATTAGTGATTTATCAACACATGTATTTAATCTACAATGACTTGAAATATTTATTTCTATTGGATTCATACTTCTTTTTTTTTTCTTTTTTTTATGACCAGTAATATTTTCCCTTGTGGTAACGAGTCCTGAATCGCTACTAAGATATGCATTCTTCCAGACGAGCTTTGACAGTCTGTGACGGATTCTGCTGTTTGTCTGGCACCTCTGGGTGGGAGTTTGATCACACTGATGATATTTGTGCAATTCTTGTGAGAATTTATGCAGGAGAGTCCAGTATGTATAGTATAGCTGTTAACATTTTTGTCTGGAATGGTTTTAAATGAAAGAATAAATTTACACTTCTCACAACTGATGTAATTCATGTGTCGAACTTAGAAAAAAAAAAAACACCTAACAATGACCCTTATGTCCCCCCATAATTCAGCTTTGACTTGTATGTAAATCAGGTCTATTTAAAAGAAGCAAAAATGTTTATTTGAACTGGTGTCGAGGTAAACTATATGTCGAGATTCTTTAAGACTCCATATTTGTTATGTAGTAAAATACCAACATTTAGTATGCTTTGGAAAAGTGAAAAGTATTTCAATGTCATTTCAAGCCCCATAAACAAGTGCATTTTATGTAATACGCCAACATAAAGTTCTACATAAATTAAATGACCAGGAAATGAAACATGGTTTACACTTTTTTTTACTAATTAAAATCTAAAAAGTGCTTATTTTTAATTACTTCAGTCCCTCTCAGTCAATAATGTGCACATCTGCTAGAACTACATGGAATTATATTGATTATACTTTGAAGCCATGACTGAATGTTTCAGGCCTGAAGTCTTGAACAGTCTACTTCAACCATCTTTTCATTTGCTACAATCAGCCTCACTGTTTCCACTGCAGAAAATAATCAGAATCCACTCAGCATAATGCTGCCACCATCATGCTTCACCAGTCAATGATTGGTTTTCTACACGTAGAGATTTGCATGATGCATTAAGTCACAATTTTAATAGCTTCACAACATAGTATAGTTTGTAAGACTGACGCAACAAATTGCTAAAAAAAAAAAAGTAATACTAAATAAAACACACATTAGCATGTTATTTGAAAGTTATTGCAACACAAATAAGTAAGAAATACGAACAGAGCTTCTGTCTCTCACTAATTAATAACATTACTAATTTATTATAGGGCTCGAAAAATAAAAAGTGTGCCTTTGACCTTTCTAAGTTTCTTCGTTTCAAAACACATTTTTATCTGCTTTATAATGCCTTCAAACCTCGCGAGAGCGTTCTAGATTTTTCCTCACCATGGCAACCAACATCAACACGCACGAGGCCGCTTCGTCTCAGTCGACCGTTCAACGTGAGTTGACGTTTTGTGTGTTTTCAGCGAGCGAGCAAGCTGTAAGTGTTCAACCTCACCATGAACCGTGATTACTACGAGACTCTTGAGATAAACAGAAACGCAACAGATGCAGATATCAAAAAGGCGTAAGTTCCTCTTACTTTTTTTAATTTTTTTTTTTACATCAGGCTGTGAAAACGTTACAGGTTTTTTTTTTTTTTTTTTTTTGTAATTATTATCATCATATTTACCTAGATACCGGCGTCTTGCGTTGAAGTTTCATCCGTGTAAAAACAGTGAAGCTGGAAGTTCGGATAGATTCTTCCAGCTGGGTGAAGCCTACGATGTTCTCAGTGACCGTGAGTTTGTCCTGAATCCACACTGAACGCTGCAGCAACGGCTCCCACAATGCCTTGCGAAGTTCTTTGAATCCATAAGATGTTGACTTAGTGCGCTAAATACAAATATACGCGACACTTTTCAAACTCTTACTTGTAAACGCTAATAGAAAAATACATTTATAATTTTCCTTCCTCTTCACAGAAAATCAGTCAAAATCACATGAAAGTTTTGTGGTTGTAAATTGACAATATTTTACATATCTATTCCTTTTCAGCAAGAAAAAAGGCAACTTATGACAAATTTGGTGAAGAGGGACTCAAAGGTGGCATCCCTGTCGAGTTTACCGGTGGTGGAGCTTGGTCCTCCAAATATACCTACCATGGCAACCCTGACAAAACGTTCAGACAGTTCTTCGGAGGTGACAACCCATTTGCAGGTGAGGAAAGCGCATTCAAAAACCATATTGTACCTTCTGTTTCTAATTCAAAGCTGCTGAATTTATTGTGTTTTGTCTTTCCTGCAGATTTTTACACCATAGAATCAGCTCTTCAGTTCAGCTCCCTGGTGGTGGGAATTGAGAAGACACAAGATTCTCCAATAGAGAGAGATCTCCCTTTGTCCCTGGATGATCTCTTCCACGGATGCATAAAGAAGATTAAGATTTCTCGCAGGGTAGATGCTGCTAACATATTAGAGACGTGTTTTTTTCCCCCTGCTCTGCCCAGTGCTCTTCCTACGTTAAATCATTCATATGTCCATTAAATGGAGTGCTTCTGGAGTGCCGTGATTCTTAAACTGGGACAAGTCACAACAAAGACGTTAATCTAACGATATGTCAAAACAGAAAAAAAAACAGCAAAAGCACTGGTCAGAAGTATGCATATGTTTGTCTTCAGCATGTCTTCTGAAGATGTACTTTTAATGTTGATCCAATAATACAACACAAATTCCAGTTGACTTAAAAACAATTTTTGATGGACAAGTTTGGGCTTATTGTTGATTTTCTTTAATTCACACAAGTTTTGAATCACTGTTTCCATGGAGTTTAAGAACGTGGCCTTTTCCAGAAGACGTTAGCTTCCTGTATTGACTCCCAAACCAGTTTTAGTGTATGTTTAAGATCCTCATCGTGTTGGACAACACTTTGTGTGCACGCTTCAAACATCAGGTTTTTTTGTAGGTTGCCCTCCTTCATTATTGCATCATCTGAGCTATGGTAAACATGTTCAGACAAATAGGGCAAAAATGTGCATCCTGCTATAGATCTGATGACTTTCTTATTATTGAAAAATGGGGTTTCTGCATTTTCTCGTGTGTGTTGCAGGTTATGAATGAGGATGAACAAACTTCCAGTATCAAGGACAAGATTCTGACTATCGAAGTGAAACCTGGATGGACGGAAGGCACCAGAATCGTTTTCACCAAAGAGGGAGATCAGGTATACTCTATCTCAAAGGTGTCAAACTCATTTCTGTTTTGGGCCAAGTTAAGATTATAAACGCTCTTAAAGGGCTAGTTGTGCCAAAATGCATTGAGTGTTTACAAACTGTTAAAATCGCAATAAATATGAACAGGTTGTTGTGCTTTTACTCTGTTTTTTGTATTTTTGTGCTATTTGGACAAAATAATTTCCCTCTGGGGATGAATACAGTAATCTTGAATCTTGAAAGGTCAGATTTGAGGAAATTCAAACTCATCCAGCCATCGTCCTTTTAGACCAGGTTAGTCATCCTGTTATGTTTTATCTACAGGGACCAAACTGCATCCCTGCAGACATTGTGTTTATAGTTCGGGAGAAGCCTCATCATGTGTTTACAAGACAGCTCAATGATCTCGTCTTCAAGGCCAAGATCTCTCTGGAGATGGTGGGTCATGTCTGTGTTTTATTGTCTGCCGTATTTGTGTCCTTTCCTTCCTTCAAATATAAAAATATCTGCCATAAAATTCTGTTTTTTATTTGTCAACAAAGAAATTGGTGTAATAATCAGAAGAGGCTCTACAGCTGCCATGTTGACATGTTCCCCTCCCAACAGGCCCTGACTGGCTTCTCTGTGGATGTGGAGACACTAGATGGCAAGCTGCTCACCATTCCTATCAATGACATTGTGCAGTAAGTGCTTTCTCCTGAAAAGACCTTCCGAACGGCATTCATTTATTCTTCTTGATTTTGCAGTAGCTTCCTATTAGACGTCAAAGATCAACATCAAACACACATAGTGTCTAAAATACAGCCACTCTGCGTCAACTGTATGTTTTAATATCAGCACCACTTTCTTTTTTTTCCCCCGTGACGAACCAGCCAGTCGTACAAAAAAGTGCTGAGTGGAGAGGGAATGCCGCTGCCGCAGGATCCGACCCAGAGAGGAAGCCTCATCCTCACCTTTGACATTGACTTTCCAAAAAAGCTCTCCGCTGAAAGCAAGCAGCTGATCAAGCAAGCTCTAAATCTGAAATATTTACAGTATTAGCTGAAGGTGTTGCACTCCCAAAAACTTAAAAAGGTTTACTGCATTAGGTGTGAGCTGAAGTGTACTCTGAAAGAAAGCTAAATGGAAGGCAGCTGTTTCCCAGTAGCAGCCTTCAGGTAAGCTTCAGAGGTTATAATAAAGCTGTTTGGCTGTGATTGGCTGCCATCAGAGCTCGCTTCAGCTGCTCGTATGTGACAAACATCACCACGTTCCAGGAGCCCAGCCGTAAGAACGATGGCATGAAGCTAAATCGGGAGAAAACAGAAAAACGTTGTGCTTTATCAGCCTTTTGTTACAGCCACCAAGAGTCAAAAACACCACAATACAGTGGAATCAGTCAGCTGATAAACATTTGTAAAATAGATCACAAATTCTGTATCTGGTACTAGAGCCCCATAAAGTCAATTATGGGGCTTTTTTAAATGTAATGTTATTTCATTTTATCTATAAAATGAAATAACATTTTATTCATAATTGAATAAGTTTAAAGAATAAAATTAACATTAATGGAATAAAAATTTTAAGTATTGGATTCGACATTTATTGTGTAATTAAAAAAATACACACCTGCAAACAGTTATTAAAGTTATTAAATTAGCAACTTCTCTGAAATATTTACCATAGGAATGATAATATCAGGGGTCAAAAGTGCTACAATCAGAATTAGAATAATATTTTTAAGTAAAAATGTAAGTACATTTAATAAAAATAAATACATAATTCATACATATATATATTTGTTTTTATTCAATAAAAAATACATATAAATTGTATGTATTTGTTTTTATTCAATGTATTGTCAGTTTTATTAAAATTACTTAAAAATCTAAATATTCTAATTCTGATTGAGGCACTTTTGACCCCTGATATTCTCTTTCTTATGGTAAATATTTCAGAAAAGTCTCCACAGTCTTGCCTTACCCTTTATAAAAAGCGAGCGGACCTTCTTTGGCCATCATGGCAGCAGCACAGTTGAGGACGCTGCTGTACTGGCCAAGGGCGGAGTTCATGTATCTGGTTTTGACCACATCCACTGGGGAAGCGATCACAGTTGTGCATAACCCGGCACCAAAGGCTGATACGAAGTGGCAAGGCAGGTTGTCTGTGGAGTACAGGAAGCTGCAGTTCCAGATTCACACTTGTGTTTCACAGTGGACCAAAGCCATTACTTTACCAGACAGGGGAGTGGAGGTGAGGAGGAAATCCTTAATGAAGTCATATGTCACCAGCTCTGTGCAGTTAACAATGGCATTGCGGGCGATGTTGGGGCCTGTGCCTGAGTGCACACACACTTGTCAAAAAAATTAAACGGCAGTAATTAAGAAAGCATCTCTTGGGCGCAAGTAACCTTTCCAGAGACCACGGATGCCTTCCTCCTTAGCAATGGTCTTGTAGGCATCAATGGTGCCACAGTAGCGCCTAGCGTTCTCATTAGACCTGGCCTGTGCCTGAAAACGGACTTTCACCACATCTGTGGGCTGAGCCACAGCCACAGCCATTCCTCCTGTGGTGCATCCCGCAAGCAGACGACTGCCGATGCTGACGTCTGAAAATTTGATATCAATTTTGACTCGTGCAGGCCTTCTTCAGTCGAAATATTTTGAGTCACAGAAACTTACGATCAGATCCTTTAGTGTAGAACTGCTTAACAGAGTCATAGAGACCAATGCGGACAGAGGCAAAGCTCATCTGTCTCTGCAGCCCTGCAACCAGCCCGCTGTAGAGACTCAGAGGCCCCTCTGTGCGCACCATGGTGATGATGGTACCAATCACACCCCGATATTTTACTGCAGGAACTTTCCCCTTTGCTTCAGAGATGCTGGTCTCTCCTTGGACCTGTGTAGGTAGTGAAAAAAATCACGCTGCCTATCGAATAAGGAACAAAATAAGGCGTTTCAGCTTGAAGGTGCAGAACGTTAACATACTTGCAGCCGCACTTTGGCAGTATCCAGGGGAAAAGTGAGCAGGTCAGCAATGCAGGCTGCAGTTCCTGCGCCCACAAACTTAACAGCTGCTGTTGGAGGCACATTCACTGGCTGAAATCCAACCATTTCTTTTCTCTTTTTTTAATTCTCTTTGGATTAAAACTAAAATTCAATGACAATGTTTGTATATTTGATCCAAAAATCTGAAATAAAACAGACTTTCCATTAGTAAATCTATTCCACACTGCCAAGCAGAATAACATTATTTGTATTTAATGAATCTCTATGACATGCTTGATCATTTTCTAGCGATAAGTGATGCATCTTTCTGATATAAGTAATAAGTTAACTTGTAAACTCTTACTTTTCATCTATCCATGTGTTAAACAAAACGGATGGATCGCTTTATTCTTACCTTTACTGGAACAGTCAGTGCGACAGAAACACAGAAGATCAGGATTCTCTGAAGGCGTCTCTTTGGCTGAACTTTGTTCCAGCTATGAACCGGCTTCCTTGCTTTTCCATAGAAGATCTTGCAGAAATGATGTCAATTAAAATCATACTCTGAGTCCTGACAGAGGAAGCATAAGTCTGAGATCAGGGCAACAGTTTCCCAAACTGCAAAAGCTGCAGAAAATAGAAAAATATTTCAAACAAAAGAAAAAAAATTTTTTTACCTTGAAATGTGATTTGTTAAGATTAAGATGCGTCTTTAGGTGGCACTGTCTGAATGAATCTGAAGCAATGACTAGGGGAAAGTGCAGCAGTGTGGAGGGAAACAGAGCGTGAGCGCCTCTTTAAATACTGATGTGATGCTGTTACATAATGGCGCAACACGTGTTTTCTGTGGTATCTTATAGAAACAATGTTTGCTGATCAATCAGACAGAAGAGGCTGACCAACGCCAGCTAAGTCTATTTGTATGCGAATGTAGACTTAAGGGCAGGTTTGTCCCCTGTCTTTATTACTAATTTAATTTCCACATAAAACTGTAACATAATCAGCAACAAGCAAACAAGGCTCTTCATTATATTTTTATACAGTAAAGTAACAACAAATCTAAATGATTACTTCTTTCTTTTTTTATGCGGTTTGTTTAAGTCAGCCGTTTAGTGATGGGAGTGTTGTGTGTTATTAAGTAAACGCTGAGTCATGCTGAACATACAAAAAAACACAGAGAGCGCCAGATTGGAGCCACATGTCTCGACCCATAATCATCTAGCCACCAGTTTCAGTCAAAACGCTTTTTTCCTTTCTGCTTTGTCCAGTGATTAACTACGACTCTTGTCATTTATCTTAATTAAGTGTGCAGTTGTCAGATATCCCAGGAAATTTTCCACATTTTATCACATTAAAACCTCAATCTTTAGCAGTCTTTTCTGGGATTTTATGTGGCAGGTTATCAAATCTTTTTAATTGATAACAGAAGATAAAACTGTTGTGTGCATATGTATTCACCTGCGAAGAGTCAACACTTAGCAGAATCAAACTTCACATAGAGGGAAAAATTCTTTTTTGCAATATTACTCAAACTCAGTCTGATTGGATGGAGATTCTGTGAATGGCACTTTTCAAGTCTTTCCACAAATCCTCTATTTATTTATGTCTGAACTTTGATTGAGACATCCTAACACCTCAGTGAGCTTTGTTCTAATCAGTTCAATTGTAGTTCTGGCTTCATATTTGAGATATTTACAATTTACCCACGTTGGCCTTGTGAAACCAGGCATGTGAATATTGTCTCTTTGACTCCATATTTTAAATCCACTGCCACAAGTACTGGAGTGAAATTGGACAGCAACCTTAAGTTAGACGCACAAGTCAAATCTGTGATAAAAACATGTTTTTTTCTCAGTGTGATAAATTTCCAAAATCAAGACAACTTTGTCTTGGGAGGATTATTTTTTTACCTCATGCCTTGACTTATGTAGTGCGCTGTATTCGAGGGTCAAACCAACTCCCCTCCCTGACCTCCCCCTTGTTCAAAAACAATCGCACAGACGAGAACACGTCACTCCTGATGTCGCTGCTCTGTACTGGTTTCTGTGTGACAACTGATTTCAAAATTCTTTTGTTACCTTTTAAATGTCCTAATGGTTTCGATCCATGCTATCTCTTGGACTTGTACTCTCCTTTGCAGTCTCTTAAGTCAGCTGACCAGCTGTTGTTGACCGCTCCAAAGACAAGGCGAAAACTAAGCAATAGAACAGGTTGCCAAAGTATGCAAGGTCGTCTTCAATGTTTTTTTTCTATGGTGCTTGACGCAACATTAGTTGTTTCTTCTTCTGTATGAACTGTTGTATTAGCTAGCATTGTTTTATGCATCTACTTTTGTTTCTGCTTACTCTTCAGATGCACTTTTGTGAACCATTTTTTTGTTTTTCAGTGTGCTTTATAAATAAATGGATTGGGTTGGACAAGGTCGATGTGCTGCAAGAAGATGAACCTTTCTCTCTCAAGTCTTTTGCAGCTTCTTACAGGTTTTCTTTCAGCAATTCCCACATGTGATATTTGTTTGACCTGCACTGTCTGTCTGATCCAGGTAGGCGTCCGCGCCGCTAGCGGTCATTAGACAAATATAGAAGAAGCAGACATGTGATATCTGAGGATTGTGAAGTGCAGCGTTATTACCCATGGCTCGGGTACATGTTGTCCTACATGTATCGCTGTAAGATGGTGCTGTCCCACTCCGTATCTCACTCACTCAGCTGTGAAAATAGATCATGCTGCAGTTCTTCAATGTAGCCAACACCAAACCCTGATCAGACTTCATGCCTTTTTATGGACAGATGATATTTTTTGGAGGGGCAGTTTGAAATCGTTAAATCAATTGTAACTTCAGAAACTTTAGATTTGTCACATATTACTGGATTCAATAGTTAGTATTAGCAACGGAGACACAGGCTTAGTATTACCATGTTGCATTTTATTTAACGGTACAATTTCTAGTTTAAAGACAAAGTGCACAACTAACAGAGCTGAAATATAATTCTGTTTCAGACAAAATTTTACTTGATATGTTTAGCTTTGAGTTGTGCAAAATGAATTTCATGACCCATTGACCAGCAATAAATCATGCAGCTAAACATGACTGTGTTTGCATTCAGCGATCTACTCCTCGCCATACACCCAAAGCAACAGTGTAAACATTTTGGCAACATTGACAAAGGAGGTAACATAAAAGTGAAATGGTCGATGTTCTTGTGGAAAAACTTCTAAATATCAATTCTCATGCAACAGTTCTGTCGATGTGACTGGAAAGTTCATCACTGTAAACATAAAAAAAAAAAAGAAAACATCATCAGACATCCTGTTGAGCTAAGTTCAATTATAATGACATGTAATGGAAGCTCTGGTCATATCAATCCTGATGAATCGTTGTGCTGTAATCTGTGAATCCTCCTGGTCTTGCAGGAATGTTCCTGATTCTTTCGTCACCCACGTCTTTATTGGCAGGTGGTGAAGTACAGTACCTGTCCTCAAAGGCCAGATCACTAAATAACTCAACAATTAGGGCCTTTTCCTCACACTTCTTCACTTCCAGCTGTATTGCACACTTTTTCCTCGCATCACGCCGCTTGTCGTGACTTTTGCATCTTCGCATTCTTGCCATAAAAGCCGCTGACGAGCTTCAATCAAAACGGAGACTCCCAGTACTGCTGTGCTCTGGTCATACCCCTCTTGATTTGTTCATATGTCACAAACATGACAATGTTCCAAGATCCAAGACGCAGAAAAGAAGGCATGAATCTGGAAGAAGCAGAAGAGGGGGATTTAAGGAAGTGGAACTGGCATGTTGCGTTACTTTTACTCTTCAAAAACTGCCGGGGTATTCCTTTAACCCAAAGCAGAATAAAATTACACCCAGTTTATTAAGCTAGAGAAGAGAGCAAATTTGTTTACTTTTAATAACATCAGACCCAACCATGACAATAATGGCAAATTTCTCCACATTTGGTTGGTTTTTCACCCAGCAGTTCTTAAAATGCAGTTTTACTTTTAGCTCTTACCCTTTATAGAAGGCAGCAGGTCCTTCGTTTCTCAGCATCGTCAGAGCGCAGTTGATGGCGCTGGCGTACTGTCCATTTCCTGAGTTCATGAACCGTGTTTTAACCACATCGACTGGAGACGCTACTACAGTTGTGCAAAAGCCGGCACCAAAGGCAGCTGTGAAGTGGCAGGGCAGGTTGTCTGTGGGAGAGCAGAACATAAGTTACAAGGATTTGTGTGTTAGGATTTTTCAAATGACAGCAGTCAGTTGATTGGTTGTTTCGCTTACCTGTCATTAGGTCATACTTCAAAATGAGTTCTTTGATCATGTCGTAGGTGACCAGTTCTGCACAGTTTACAATGGCATTCCTGGTGATGTTTGGCATGCAGCCTGGAAGAAAGAATATCGTTCAGATCTCTGGTGTTTTTTTGGTTTTTTTGCATGTGGAAATAACATATTGAGTAATAAAGCAACACCTCTCCAGAGTCCCCGAACTCCTTCGTCTCTGGCAATTGTCTTATAGGCGTCCAGGGTGCTGTTGTATCTCCTCTCCCCGTCAGCCAATCGCACCTGGGCTTGGAAACGCACCTTCACCACATCTGTTGGTTGTGCAAAAGTCACAGCCATGGCTCCTGTGGTGCAGCCTGCCATGAGTCGGGTTACAATCCCAGCACCTGCGCGGCAAGAATGTTAGGACCTGCTAATACGATAAAAACGCCATTTTTCCTTCACTTTTTGTAAAATACATAAAACTCACTCTCTGTGCCTCGAGTGTAGAATTGCTTCATGGAGTCATAAAGGCCGATCCGAACAGACGCGAAGCTCATCTGCCTCTGAAGACCCGCTACCAGTCCATTGTAAAGACTCCTGGCTCCTTCCGTGCGCACCATGGTTTTGATGGTTCCGAACACGCCCCGGTACTTCACCACATTGGAACCTTCAACCTTCTGAGACTCGCCCTGGATCTGGGTACATTGTGGCATTTATGAATCTTTCGCAGCACATAAATAAAACATCCAGAACCATAACTATTTTGAGGTGTATTTACCTGTAGTCTGACTTTGGCTGTATCCAGAGGAAAGGTGATGAGGTCAGCGATGCAGGCTGCCGTGCCCGCTCCAAAGAACTTAATGCCTGCAGAGGGCACCAGGTCGGTCGGTTTCACTGCAACCATTTTTATTCCTGGAATTGGTACAAAACGGACACTTTTGCTCTTAAAGACGTGTTCCTTCAATTGCAACTTTAGACATGCGTTAAGTGGTTGTGCTTACCTTTACAAAACGATGCAGAGAAGTTTCAGGTTTTCTCAAGAATGTGGCAGGGCTTTGGGAAAGGTTCTGTCGTTGAAAAGCCTTTGGCCATAAACTTTCTCAGAAGTGAGCCAGCCAGCATAACACTGCTCACTAAAACAGGCAGGTAATCAACGGTTTGAGCGTCTCAAGCCATTCAGACACAATTTAACATCCTGTTATACGGATTAAAAGCATCAATTAGCATATGGCATTTACCTTGAAGATTTTTCTTGAAGATTTTAATCCAATTAAGAGAAAAATGATAAGTTCCTCAATATCCTTAGCCCAGTACTTCCTGGTGGATGCTTACTGTTTCTCTGAGGATGGAGGCGACCCCTGAATTTATAGGCACCTTTTGCACATGACCTGTTAGCAGCCCAACAAGTTGTCCACACCTGTTTTTCGACTATCATGTGTACCAGTCTATGACACAGCAGGATATCTGAGCTCTTGTTGATCTGATTCCACACGCGTCTTTATAA